ACATTAAGCATTTGCGCGAGAGACCGAAGGTCCTAGTTTTGAAACCAGCGTGCAGGATCGTGGATGTGCACTGTTGAGGAGTTCCATACTCAGGCGAAACAGCCGTTCACTGCTTCCAGATTTTCAACGGGGGTCTAACATTGGTCGGTTCATGATCTCAATTAAAATTCAACAATCTACACAACCCTATACTACAAAAGTTATAAGTTCTGTTAACTTTTGGTTATGTTTCTTGATCATCAGGCTATCGTAATTTACTGACGAATTACAACCTGATAGAAATGCATGTCAGTTCAAGTTGAGTTATTTAATAATACTATAACGGCAAGAAGGAATCAAAGTGGAGGCAATATTCATCACAGATTGATTACGTTTTCAATATCATTGACTTAGTGTATCTAACAGTCGAGCAATTATCATGAGATCTGACTGTCCTCGGCTAGATCCATTGTCGGGTTGTGGATGGGCAGCTTTGAGGAGTCTCACAATAAACTGAAATAACAGTCTAGTACTTCCAAGATTCAGATAGTACTATTAATGGGTTCAGTTTGTGACGAATATCGCCTATAACCAATAAAGTCAGTGTTACAAAAAACTAGACACTGAAAATGTGATACAGGACAAATGAATAGAATAAAAACTGCAGGAGAGGTTTAGAAGATGAAAGATGAATAGGAATGAGGTGCTAGGACAGATTCCCATTCATATCATTTATTATCTCCGATACTATACTTCAGTCAAAAAGTACAACTAAGGTGTCGATAACATCTTTATATTATAGTTCAAAATAATGGTCAATGATATCATGAACTGATAATATCTCCTGATCTGGCTGCTGCTTAACCGTTTTCTCATTCTACATCTATGGTGATCATTATAGCGTATCATACGAACTAGTGGTTTGATACATATAACACATGTCCAAAGCACAATTAAGTTGATGAAATAAAATTCACTTGGTATTATTTACTTAAATCTTCCCATTGATGTTTAGGACTTTGATTGATCAGTCTCTTATTGGCATATGTGCATACTGTGTGTATTGCCTCAATATTGCCTTAATTTACAAGCATTATTAGCAAAGATGGATAGCTAGGTGTATAACACGATGGCGTCTGAAGCGAACGGTACAGGGCTCGAGTTCAAGAGTGAACACCAACTGAGATGCAGGTACATCCAGCTGACAAGTCTCAAATACGATGAAAAGAGCTTCTCAGATTCTACTGCTAGTCACTATCCATCTTTACTTATAAATTGATGAACGTTTATAGCTTTATCATTCAATTGGTCAATTCTATTCAGTACTATTCAGTATAAAGGATGGTTTGAAGACACCTATGATTAAAACTGCTGTTTTAACGAAATTAACATAGAAGACATTATTATGACCCAAATAACAAATAATATGTTTGTAGTATTCCAATGAATAGAAAATTGCATGTCCAACGTTATTATTATTACTGTCTATAATCTGTCTAATACCCAGTTTATTTAACATTATCAGGTTGAATCTTGTTAATGATACATACGAAGCCTTATTATACAACAAGGAAGAGTTTGTACTTGATAACTGATAGTAACTATTGATATAAATTTACTAAATTATGAAATAATGAAGTTGGATTATTAAGATTTTCATAAATTAATGGTTAGCCGGAAAATTTTCTGACAATAGACACTTGGAAGAATCGAGAGAAAACAAATAAACAAGATACTAAATAGTAACTAATATATAATGTTTTCACAGTGAGACTATAATTTATGAACGAGCCAATCAGAAGCGTTTGGGGGATTTCAAGGTCATGGCGCCAACTTCAGTACCTGGTGCTCACGTACGATCGGTTCACAGTGGATTTTAGAGAAAACGTGATAATTGAGTGGCTACAACAAATGGAACTACTAAAACGTTCCTTTACTTGTGATTTTAGTAATTAAATGACTTGTGGACCTTGTGCAGACTACCGTAATGATGTTGTCTTTCGATGTAATATGTGTTGGAGGAAGAAGTCTGCTAGAATAGGACTTTTTTGCTCGATCCAGATTGAGACTATGGCAAACTATGACTGGATAAAAAAAGCACCAGTAATACTGGCTACAGCCGGGTACTACAATATATACAGATGATTGGAGAATGTACAGATGCCTATATTAACTTGTTTATGTGCATGGAGTCGTTATCCATAAGCGGCATTTTGTGGACCCAACAACCGGAGTACAGACAAACAATATTGAAGCTATGTGGTCGAGGCTGAAAGAGTTTTTGGGACCTTATCATGGCTCCAGAGGTCGACTGTTCTGTAGCCATATGGATGATTTTTACGACTGCATGCATTACGATTTTAGAATTCCTGAACCTCTTTCTAACCTTGAAAAATCTTTGAATCACTTTATTTCTTTGGTTTTGTATAATATATTTTTACTCTATATTGACTATTTGCTGATTGGCTAGTATTTCTCAAGGTCACTTAAGATTCGTTTTCAGGTCGTCCATAAATTATAGTCTCTCCGTTTTCACTTTTTGATGTTACTTAATAGATTCTCTGAAATGAAATTCAATATGATCACTCATTAAAATGAACTGATGTAAATATGATCAATTTTAATGTTTATAGAAAAGAAAAGGTTAATAGGAATATTTGAACCTATATTTCGTGTTAGCTAATACTTGTCCAACTCACTACCTTCTCGTGGCATTACTGTTGTTTACGAAATTGAGAGGATGAAAAGCAAATGTCAGGCGCTTTAACTGGGTTGATAGACATAGAGAGTCCACGTAAAGGAGTTGGAAAACTCCGATTCCAATCCAATGGTGCACATGGACTACAGTATCCTGAAGGAACAAATGGTATATGAACCTATTGTTGGTCACCAGATAGCATGAGACTGCATCTCCTGACATTGCTCCACTGCCTTGTGGATCAGATCATTAGGTTGAAGGCTCCGGGTGTGACCCCTTACGAAAACCACCTTCTTCGGTTTAGACACCCGGGTAGTATCCTAGCCCTCACACAAATCGAATGATTTATGTGGCGCATATCTATTTGATCCCTCTTTGTACCAATGTTTATGTGTTTAAATAAATAAAATAAATACTTGTCATCAGTTCATTCCTTAGAAAATAGATGTTCTAATACACTGGGCCAATCATACATAGGCCTAGTAAGAAGTGAGAAATGCTGACAAGTGCATTGATTTAACTTTCTAAATAAACAGATATGCAACATCGGTTAAAAATATTACTCAATCATCTGAAATTACATATACAGTATTCTATATTTGTTATAAATAGTCAGTGTTTTATTTTAGCAAATGTAACATCTATATTACTTATTTCATATTTGAATAAATCTATGAGTAGTGTAGTTATTACCAACTGAAGTCTTGTTTTTTTTAAATAATTACATTTCGGGGACACAACAACAGTGGCGGATAAACAATTTATGTCAATTTAATGGTATCATAGGGTAGTTAGTTAATCATAGTGGATTGGTATAAAATGTAAAAGTATTTGGAATTCTAAAAAAAGTTGAGTAGTTGTTAACTCTTTGTTGGAATGTTGCTCACAAATACTATGGTACGACCGAGGTTGAGCAGATTTTGTCCTGCCTCTGTAAATTTCACATACAGACACTAATAGATAGTATCTAACAAAAATTCTGGCTGACTACCATCAAATGGTTTGGTGTGTTTTTACGAAAGTGAGAGGATGGAAAGAGAAGCTGAAACTGGATTGGTGGATACCGAGGTTTCATCCATAAAAAGGAGTTTAAAAATTTTTAATTCAAACAATTGGTGTTGATAGACTTCAGGATCCTAAAGAAGTAAAATAATTATGAACCTACGTTCGTTACCAGTGACCATGATACTACATCTATCGACGTTATTTCATTCTTTTGCGGATTAGAATTCCAACCTAAAGACTTGAAAATTAGCCACACAAGAAAGTCACCCATTTTGGCTGAAGTGTCTGAGAGGTATCCAAGCTCGAACACATATATGTAAATAAATAGTTACTAAGATAATGTACTCTTCGTTATCCATAAAAACGATATTTATAATTACCTACATAGAATTTTGCGTTCATTAAAATAGGTAGTAATTATTTATCTGTACAATGAGTAATACATCTATTCATGTTTAGTTATATCTGACAGTGTATTTAATAAATATTTTCTGGTAACTATTAAGTGACCCTTTATCTGACTCCAGATTGTATTGTTATTGAAATAGATATGTCGGTTATACTCGTATATAATCATCAACTTAAATCGCGTAGGTGAATAGCGGAATTAAATAATTCGAATACGAGAATGGATTTTTGGATATGTATATTCCGTACACCCAATGATCTGGATAGGAAATGAGAGGGATAAGGCGAATGAAAGAGAGTGAAGAGAAACGACGCACGATGGGAAAGGTATGTGAGCCAACTCCATTTAATCAAGCGTTAATCAATATTTATAGCCAGATAAAAACAGGTTACAGACACGTGATGAACAAAATAAGAAGTGTACACACATATACATTCATATAAAAACAGTCAGGGTTAATAAGTGAATAATTAACAAGGTCAAAATGTGACTCAAGATGAATGAATAGAATTGGCCTGTCCGGAATATAGATTAAGCTATGTGGGCTCAATATAGCAACCAACACTACAACTATTTAAATCGTAATGCCCTGTAACAAGTTAAACTGCGATTATCTTCCCTAATATTTGTATTTTATGAAGGAAATCAAAAATCATCTAATCTGATATTCAATCTTTAATGGCCTATTCACAAAATTATTTTCGTCTCAACCTGTTCTTTAAACACTTCAATACATGGATGTATTAAAACGCATGGATGAAAATGAATCATGAAAACAGCTCAATTAAATAATATGAATATTTTTAAACTACTCATATTAATTTACAGTAGTATATATAGTTCAAAAACAATCAAATCAATTATTCAGCCAAATATTTTTTGAAAATTACTGAACATTTATTTACTTACATTGATAAGTACAGTCAATGAAGATATTCCATCCTTTGACAAATTACATGATGTTAAATTGAGAGTTGAAATATTTGGGACATTACGTAATACTCGGCAAATTTCTTTGAATAAGAAAAAAATTCTTTAATTATTTGATTAATGTCACATAAAAATTATTAGTTAATAGCGGTTTTAAATCTGTTATATAACACTTGACTTTCACTTAATTCATAGCTGATTCCAATCACAAATACATGATATATATATATATAGCATCAATATTATAAACCTCCTATACAAGTCGATTGGTTCCACAAACTTTTCATGTTATAGAGTTATTCACATGGTATTGTTTGACTTGTATCTTTTCATTGAGGTTTAAGAGTGAAATTGATCAATCTGTTATTAGCGTATGTGCATACTGTGCGTATGCCTCGATATTGCCTTAATTCACAAGCTTTTTGTAGTAAGCAATGATGGATAGTGGCTAGCAGTGGAATCCAGGACGCGCATCTTTGTCCTATTTGGGACTCGTCAGCTGGATGTACCTGCATCTCAGAGTTGATGTTCACTCTTGGACTCGAACCCATTAACATTCGCTCCAAATGCCATCCCGTTATCCACTCAGCTACTGAATCGTGATAGCCACTTGCTTGTGCGATTGGGGTGTAAACTGTGTTACAAAATCCTAGGATATGATGAAATATTGTTCAACACAAAGATTTAGGTGAGGATAATCAATTTATTGTTTAGTATAAATTAAAGAGTTCTTTCGTAAAATGTGAAAGTGTTTTTAGCCAGGTTATTCAGCTACATTCTTGAATTAATAGCTTAGTAGCTTTCTCAGTGTAATGTTAGGGTAAACTGTTGATAAGAGATTACTTATAGGGAAATACTTTTCCATTTAATAATGAATGATAATGTTATTCATAAACTGCTTGAGCTACAGTATTGTAATGGACAATCGACTGTATTAGACACGAAATTACAGAGTACCTTAATAAAATCTGAGAACCATATAGTAAATCGTTAATTTGCAAAATATCAACCCATCAACTCAAACTTGACTGTTCCTTTTGCAAATATTAGTCCACTGTGTCAAATTTCATTGTTCACTTATTTTCATACCAATTGCGTCCCGTTCCCGTTCTTTCCTTATCGATTTTTCTACTGAAATACATTCTATGCCTGACCACCATCTTATACTACTTATATGAATATAAGTAAACCACATCACAGTCCTATCGAACAAGGTTTTTTTAAATAGAAATGGCTTACTTCATTAATCACATATGATATTTTAAATGTACCTTACAAATTCACTGAAACAAAATGTTTGTTGTTAATATTTAACAAAAACTATCCCAAATTAACTATTTAAACAATGGTTTTGTCCAAACATTTAACCTACCTTCAAGACCATCATCATTTATGGAAGAACCTTCAAATGATAAATGTTTCAATGTACGATTTTTTCTAATACCCTACACAGAAAAAAAACAAATAGATTTCATAAGCTTCAAAAGTTATTATCAATTAAGAATTATCTTTAAAGTAAAGAGTTTATCATCATTTGTATTGTTTATTGCTGGATATGTATTCGATAAAGGTACTGCTTCAAAGTGCAGACTACCTGTTTGAAGTCTATATGATCATCATAATCAACAGTTGTAGGATTTTTTGAAACAGGTCATAAATCACTGCAATTGTGAAGATGTATTTACTCATTCCCTTACCTTGTGTTTAGTCTGAGGTGTAAACTGTATTACAAAATCCTAGGATATGATGAAATATTGTTCAACACTATCAAGTTCTCGATGTTTCTCTATCCGATTTCAACTAACGATGAAAAATATATGCTTGAATGGTTAATTTTCTGGAAATATTTTACTTGAACGGAACACTTTGTCTTTGTCATTCATCATACTAATGGTTGAGTCTGATATTGTAGTCTAATAAGAGAAGTGTGTCGTAGTTGTCTTTTCATCTTTCTATTTACAAAATACAGTCATCAAAAGTTAACCTCTGTATTTTCAGTCTGTTCTTTTCCATAGAAGTGATTTTACTGGGTAAATTCATCGTATACAAATACCATGGAATTGAATGTTCGTATTATTTGATAAACTGTCAGTTCGTAGCTAGCATACACATTTTATTCCCATTCAAATGTTTATTACTTAATCATTTTTCAGTAGGCAAAAATGTTCTACATAAATTAATAAGAAGAATCATTCATGTTAACGAGATTGATATTACTGAGAAAATAACACACAAATTTTTACTTGAATACTGAGTTGTATGCATAATTACTGGTTACAAATAGTTACTGTACGCTCTTATGAGTTAATCGGTCGTCAGCCAATAATAAACTTCATGATAAGTTCTCGAAAGCAAAAACAACACAAGATTCTGTGATGATGTGAGTTTATTTCATTTCATGCACACTTCCACGTACGTATTCATTCACATTAAATAGAATATTCGGCAAATATGACTTAGTGTGCAATATAGGAAAATTGGGTGTTTTTCATACTAGTGGAGAATAATTATAATTGTTTTCCATATTTGTATAAGTAAAATATATGTAAATACGGAATAATCAAGGAATCATGACACAATTGTTTCCATAGGACATGTATGTATGTGGATAAAATTTACAAAACTGATAGTAACTATCAAGCTCCAATTATGAATTAATAATATGCATGGTAATACTTGACGACAATATGAGGAAATGTATATATTAAATTAAATTGATCAAACGTTTTAATGAATAATGTTGGGAATGATAAAACTAACTGTTATGGAGTAAGATTTTTGATGATTGATGAAACGAAAGTTTCGAATGTTGAAATCAGTGAATAGAATGGTGATCGATTGATAAACTCAATGATATGATGTGTGTTCGAGGACGAATTACTGACTGAAGCCATCAAGTGATTAGAAGTTAACAAGAAGACCACTGACTAACAAAATCACTTGTTTATACACAGAATAAATGTGTATCATAGTAAATAATTTCATTTTTAATGAAAAACTAACGATACTACTTACTTCACAAATTTGTAATAAACCTGTTTTACTGAGCGGAAGATTTTGCAATTCTAGAAATGTTAATTTTTCTGTAACACATGCACAGTGACGTAATGCTTTGCATAAATTTAATAAAAGCTTTGAACTGGATAATAAAATTGGTGGACGTCGTCGATTGGTTGAAGTTACACTGTCTAGATAATGGGAAAACAATAACATTTGTAGATATATCTAATTAAAATTAGCATTCGTCTGATAAAAGTATGTAGTGTTATCAGTCAATCATAATCAACGTAGATCCTGGCAAAATATGCATTGTTACAAGCTGCCGTACCATAATAGTACTGCAAGATGGATAGCGAAAGAGTTTGATGTTAGCTAGAAGAAGAATATAGGACCTGTATTTCGTCCTGTTTGGAACTTGTCCGTCAGATGTACCTCCATCCCAGTGCTAATGTTCATATCGGGACTGGGACCCAGTACTAGATTCAAATGTTTAGCTACTGAGTTCAATTAGTCACTTGCTTATGCAATAGAGTTAAGTTTAATTCATTTGTATTAGTTGTTTAGATTAGCAAGTAGATTAACTGGAATATTACAATCCATAACATCAAAGAAAAGATACAAACAGCCCGTATGAACAGTGAAAGAGATTGAAATAATATGGTCATTCAGTTATAGATATTGACATTTGCACAAATATGTAGTCAGTTTACGGTGTTATTACTTCACAGCAATACGATAAGAGATAGAGTAAAATTAAGAAAATGAAAAGTATGGAAAAGGATGAAAATTACGGAAAAACAATAAAGTTAAGATTTAAGAAAAGATAGAAAGTAAAAGTAGATGAATCTCAGTGACGGATTTTAGATAGTCACTCAATATTTCTAACTATACATTATGACTATTGAGTGGGTCCCAACTAAAAAATCTGTATTTATCAAGATGCATGGTATTGACAGTTCATTGGTTTTATAAACTGATCCCTGGTTTTTATCTACTCATTTAAACAAATTTTTTTAATCTACTGCTAGCCAAATTTACACTGAACGCTGATATGGACGATGGATAAAGAATAGTTAATGCTATACCTAAACCACTTTAGGTGACAAAGATTTCTACTCTACTCAATCAGGCTATTTTTACCTGATAACTTACCCATAATTCCAGTATTACTTACTTGACAGTTCCAACTTTTTTCAGGGATGTTTCAAAGACAATTACAAAAATATACTTGTAGTTAACACTGTCTTACATTAGTGGCCCTAAATCTGTCTACAATTGGATCGTGTGGATGATTGTTATTGAAATGACTGCTGTCGAAATATATATCGTCAATCCTAGTATATAATTATCGACTTAACTCGCATTGATAAATAACGGAATTAAATAAGTCAAACACAAGAACGGATATTTGAATATATATATTTTGTACAATCGTCGATCGGAAAGCGAAGCGAAACGATAGGACACATAGTAGAGAAAGCGAGTGAGACAACTCAATATAGCCAAACGTGAATCGATATTTATAGTCAGACAAAAATAAGTTACAGACATGTGATGAGTAAGATACGAAGTGCACACACAAACGCTTACATAAAAACAGCCAAGGTTGATCTAGAATAGGTGAATTAAGGATATCAGTGGTATAAAGGGAGCGCATTTAGTCTGTTTGTGAATAGTCCCACCATAAATGTCAACAGTGGGATGGAGATATATACACCTTACGAGTCTCAAATAAGATGAAAAGCGTGCCCTAGATTCTACTGCTGGCCCCAAATTCATTTGTTTCTAAAGACTTGTGATATACTGAGTTGAAAACCAATGAAAGTCAATGAGTACTTAATAACTGCTTCATTCTCGTTAGGGATCTATCAGCACTGTAGTTCATCTGAAGCTAGCTGATGATCAAAATTGCTTTCAATTTGAACAACAGAGGTAAATATTTGAGGAGTTAACTTATACGATAGAGTTTCTTGTGTGTTATCTCGGCAGTTAATAGAAGGTCAGTTTCTCTAAAATGGTGATGTTGACCTGAATATTAGGAAATGCAAAGTTATTAACTGGAATAAATATGTGTATACGAGTGATATAGTTATGATGAGTAGAAGTATTTGAATTATATACCAACTGAAAATTCCCGGAATATTGATATTTAAGGCCCTTAGAACTTACTTAATTACACCTGTTACCCCTCGTGGAGGAGCATAGGCCGCCCACTAGCACTCTCCATCCAACCCTATCCTGGACAATTTTTTCCAGTTGCTATTTATCCTTTTCATGTCTATTTTTAATTTTCGACGTAGCGTGTTCTTTAGTCTGCCACTTTCCCGTTTCCCTTCAGTATTCCAAGTTAGCACTTGCCTCATGATGAAGTTTGGTGATTTCTGTAGTGCATGTCCTATCCACTTCCAACGTATTTCCCTAATTTCCTCTTGAGCTGGAAGCTAGTTTGTTCTCTCCCACAGTAGGCTGTTGCTGATGGTATCCGACCAACGGATAATGAGTATCTTTCGTAGACAACTGTTCATAAATACTTGTACATTTTCAATGATGGTTGTGGTAATTCTAAAAGTTTCAGCTCCTTACAGCAGGACTGTCTTGACGTTCGAATTAAAGATTGTGACTTTAATATTGGTTGAAAGTTGTTTTGGGTTCTATATGTTCTTCAACTGTAGAAATGCTATTCTTGCTTTGCCGATCCTCTACTTTACGTCTGCATCAGGTCCTACTTTTTTACCGGTGATGCTAAGATATGTAAAAGTTTCCACCGCTTCCAAAGCTTTTACATCAAGCGTGATTGGGCTGGTGTTCTCTATGCTTTTTTCCGAGGATCATGTATGCGGAGACACACTGTTGCTGAGGCTGCCGCTACACTGGTTGTCTTCATCTACCTTTGTTGATCTGTATGGGATAGAACAGGCCATCTACGAAGTCGAAATCGTCTGGTTGCATACAAGCTGTCCATTGTATACCGTGCTTCCCCTGAGATGTGAAAGTCTTCTAATCCAGTCAACCACCAGAAGAAAGAGAAAGAGGTAGAGTTAGCAGCCTTGTCTGACATCGGTCCTCACTTGGAATGCACCGGTCAACTGTACTCCATGAACGACTTTGAAGTGTAGTCCGTAGTATGAATTCCGGATGGTGTCGACGATCTTCTCAGGTACACGACAGTGTCAAAATTTTTCCATAAGATTCTATCCACACCGTCTTACGCTTCCTCATAGTTTGTAAAGTTGATGTATAGTGACGCGTTCCACTCAACTGATTGTTCAACAATGATCCGTAGTGTTGCGATATTGTCTGTGCACAACCGATCCTTACGGAATTCAGCCTGTTGATCTTGAAGTTGGGCGTCTACTGAGTCTTTCATCCGGTTCAGAAAAACTGTTGAAAACGTTTCCTGACACCGATGGTAGTTTGATGCCTCTGTAGTTCTCACATTTGCTTAGATCTACTTTCTTAGGTATCTTGATGAGGTATTCTTCTTTCCAGTCCGTCAGTGGCATTTGTTCTTCTTCCCAAATCTTCCTGAATAAAATGTGGAACATTCTTGCAGTTACTTCTATGTCTAACGTCAGCGCTTCAGCCGGTGTATTGTCAGGTCCTACTGTTTTTCTGCTCTTGATTTGTCTGATGGCCATCTTGGTTTTTTCAATCTTTGATGGAGTGACATCTATAGGAAGGTCTATAGGAGCTACTTCGATTTCTGGTGGAATTACTGAAGCTGGTCTATTCAAGAGTTCCTCGAAGTATTCTACCCATCTATTTTTCTCTGTTCCTGAATCTCGGTAATTATCTTTCCTTCTTTGTCCTTGGTCAACCTCTCGGGTTTGTTATATTTCCCTGCTACTCTCTTTGTTGTGTCATATAGCTGTCTCATATTTCCTTCCGCTGCAGATTTTTCCATTGTCATTGCCAGGTCTCTAAAACGTATTTCTGTTTGTCAGGTCTAATGCTCCTCTTCATTCGTTTGTTTGTTTTTGTGTATTCAGCTTACGCCTTGACTTTCTCTGTTCTTATTCGGCTGTTGTTAATTGCTGTCTTCCTCTTCTTGCTTTCTTGAATCATACCCACGGTTCCGAAAGAGATCCACTTTTTATGATGATGCTTCTTGCGGCTCAGCACTTCCTGACACGTTGAGGTTAATGCTTCTTTGATCGTTTTCCAGCTGTTCTCAATAGTAGATTCCTGTTCTTCGAGTAGATCTTGTAAGGCTTGGAACCAGTTGTTGAGAGTTATCTTGAGTTCGTTGAGTTTGTTAGTATCTCGTAGGAAGACTATTGAACCCTCGTAATGCTGTTTCCCCGGATGTCCAGTGTCTTTAGTTTCAGTTTTCTTTTGTCAACCACCAGGTAGATGATGATCTGAAGTTATGTCATCTCCTCTCTTGACTCTCACGTCTTTCATTTTCCTTTTGAATTTTTTACTGGTGCAAATATGAACAATCTGGTTCTCTGTGATGTGATCCGGTGAGACCCATGTAGCTTTTTGTATGCGTTTGTGTGGGAATATTGTGCCACCTATAATCAATTTGTTGACGGCATACAGGTTTGCTTATCTGTCCCTCGAGTAGAACTGATCTTTATCGTCTTCGTTGCTATCATTGGTGGGTGCATGACACCGAATAACATTGATTGTGATTCCCTCCTTTGTTTTGAAAGATGCTTTCATGATCTTGGATCTATGAGACTTCCACTCAATAAGTGTATTTTTTACTTCTTTGGACAGCATCAGAGTAACTCCCTAAATGTGTAGAGCACTTTCCTCCATGTGACCGAAATACTGCAGCATCTCTCCCGAACCTAATCTTTTCTGTCCAGATTGGGTCTAATGGGTTTTGATGATTTCGAGTACTGTCAAATTTTATCCCCTCATTTCCGTAGATATTTGACTGGTCCTCCCGATCTGTTACATTGTCCGGACATCTCATGTACCTGTTTTCATTGTTGCTCTAATTGTTAGAAGGTGTGTCGACCTCGTGACTTCCAAAGAATTTCGGTTTCCACCATGAGGCGTCATAATTCTTCCTCCAACTACCAAGGCAGAGCTTTGATGGTTTAGTTTATTTATTCAGGTTGGCGTTTTCTAGCAAAATCTCTTCTAAAGTATGGGGTTGCCGACCCCATTCCCAACCCTCCTTTACATGGGCTTGGGACCGGCAATAAGTCTAGAAGAGCTACGTGTGAAGTTAGGTAGAAATAGATGAACACAAATGGATTATGTATGAACTTTGTAATCTATGAAAAATCAAGTACAAAGGAATCATTAGTTCGTATAAACACTACAACGGCATCACTTCTAATATTATTTTTCTGAAATTTGGTTCGAAGTCAATCATTTCTCAGACTTGTAGTTAGCATGACAGTGTCCTGTACAACAGATTTTATTTAAGAACTATAAAACCAAGTGGGATTGACTTAAAAGTAAATTACCTTTCACGTCAGATTTAAATCTTTCATTACGGTTAATATCTAGTATTTTAATACCTTGAGGCAAATGTTTTGAGTTTAAGTCAGTTGAAGTAATCAATACCAAACTCAAACTTCCTGGTAGTCATCAGGAATATTGTCATCAATACTTTGGGCAACATAAATTTTTTAGGAAGTGAAGACGGACGTAAAGGATGTCCTTTACAGATGACTATGAAGTTATATAAACAATACGTCAACAACCTCCCAACAGTTATTTCAGAGTGTGCAGTTTTTACTAGAAGTAACAGGAACAAATCACTCAAGTAGATATTTACGAAATCTAGTTGGTGAAACTCAGCAAGTCGGCATTGAGCTGTACAGTAAAGGAGTGACTACTCTTAAACAACTAAATGTAACTACACATTGGTGGGTAAACAACATAAGAGTATGTAAAACGCGAAGTCATTTTAACACCCTTTAATTTAAAAATAAATATAAAACCAACAAACAGGAAATAGAAAAACAATAGACCGAAGAGATAATTCGAAGACACATGCTCACCTGAAACACTATTATACTGATAGAAACTTCTGACTGCAATAAAATGCAGGCTTTTATTGATTTTAATGGCATCAAAAACTGGATCCCACTCTTGAGTCCTTTAGGAAGTTGTGAATAAACAAACTTTGTCTCACTTTATTCTATCTGCACTTATGTCAAGAACCCCGTTATCAACATGGCTTGTGATTACAGAGAGAGGGGAGCAATTTCGCAGCGCACACAGATTTTCATAATATTTTCTGAAATCATAAGCACCAGCTTGACGTTCCTTTACAGTTGGTATCATTAAAATAGGACACAAATTTGCGTGATTTTATGGTGTTTTGCAGCTTCAGTTGCCGTTATATTTATTTTTATTCTGGGGATGTGTTTTTTGAAGAGGTTTATGTAGTGTATTAGCATAAACCTAGGAGATCAAAATAACATAATGAAGACGTAAACTCACTGGATGAAGCCAAATTTAATATGTATTACAATAATCAGTAGCTAGTAGTGTGCGAATGTACTATACAAGCAAATCAGAAGATGAAGAGAAAAACAGGGAGAAACTAGTTTCAAATGTCGTACAGTTTACCTTTTTCAATTAGTGCACTCAAGGTCGCAATGCAATTCAAAATGTAAAACAAGATCCAGCTTTTTCAAATGTATGAAAAATGTGTTGAGTACGATTAGATCATTCTAAAAATTTTGTATGCATGCGTCATCAGGTTGCGCTCGTCGTTTTCGAGCTGATTAATAATTTGTCATAAACTTTTATCACGTTCTTAATATAACATGAGATTTGTTGTGTACTTCCCTGAAAATACTGCCTGCAGTTGCTATCTTCACATCTACAAACACTTTTTGTCATTAATAAACGTGATGGACACACGAAACCGTGGTGTTCTGGCTATCTCATAATTGTATGATAGTGAAATTCAATTTCTTGGTTCCTTATTATATTTAGTTGATAGACTCAACCGTAGATGTGTTGGGGTAATCCAGTACATGAAAAGCATTCTAACCATACAAACTGCCTAGACAGTGGCATATAAGTCAGGGATATATAAACTGGCGTGGCTGAAATGCAAAGTGCATGACACTAGAAACGACAATGGCTCTCTCTTTACTTCAGTGCATTAGAGATAGCAATAATTATTACATAAAAAAAATTTCAACTGTCTTGAACTCAGTCTACTTTGGGTACCAATATTTAGTTGTGACTTCGAAGTTAGCTGGTTGGTCAGGCTATTTCCACCTAACTCGGATAGACCCCCAATTAAAAACACATATCTTCAACGATGGTGATCGAAGAAGCAATTAACTCTACAGTCTCGAATGGAGACCAGGAAATAGGCTCTGGTGAATCAGTAGGAGAAGCATGAACTTATTTTCGGCAGTTTTACACTCAAGTAACTCAATCAGTTATACAATGGATAGTTCCAAATATGAAAAAGCATGCTCTGCCCTGTGCGACTTATGAGATTCGACGTTCATTATGAAAAAAACATTGGAATGCCACCATCAGCCTTGGCAAACCAAATACTATAAAACGCTACAGGTTCTTTCGAAACAAGTGTATAAACAAAATCCGAGCAGTTCAGTGACTATATGATAAGTATTTGGCAAAATCTGTAGTCAAATAGCCGAGAAGATTGTTCTGGTACACAAATTATAGAAAAAGAACTTACCATTAAATTAAAACCTTATTACGAAAAGGAGTACATTTCAAATGACAGAGGGAGGACGGGACAAAATAGAGGATAGTTTTCATTTGGAAGCCTCTTGCATATGAACGTTTAGACCCAAATACAAAGTCACAGAATTGGATGCTTACTGAGAACTTTCACCAAAACAACGTACTTAAAGCCCTCAGCACTTAGACACTGGGGAATCAATGTAAACGGGTGAATTACACTCCGAAATCGTGGGACAAATTGCTTGCTACATTGCTGAATATGATATTCAATGTCATTCGGTCAAGTTGAGTTACCTACAAACTAGAGGGGTGAAATTCATAAGACAGGACTAAGACAAATTCCACCAAATTACAAACTCACCATTATCTTAGTTAAAATACTGGACAGAATAATCAAAAAGTCATGAATGACATTCTTGGAAACAAATAACTTGTTAAACAGCGAACAATATGGTTTCAGAAAAGGGTTGTTTTGTACAGTAAACCTCCATATGTCAATAAAAATGGACAGTGTGGAAAATCGCTGGGTGCTGACTGTGTAAACCGTGGCAAAGCATTTCGAAAAGTGCCGAATAATAGACTCCTCTTGAGACTGAAAAATCTAACAGTTGACGGACCTCTCCTGTAGTGAATTGATTATTTCGTTGTAGGTCGTGATCAGAAATTAAGAGTAAATTCCAATTGCTCCTATGTAGAGTACTATAAAGCTCTGTTCTAGTCACTTTACTTTATGTAAATGAATTCCCAAGTATAGTTGAGTCTTTTATACCATATTATGCTGATGATGAAAAAATTTGGTGAGCAATAAGGATATGTTAATAATGCACATAAATTTCACGCGGACTTATATTTTCTGGTTAGTTGTTCCAGTGTACATAATGCTTAGTTGCCCGTTCCTGTTAACCCTTGGGGAGGAGCATAGTGCTCCGACCAGTATTCTTTATCGAGCTATGTCCTAAGCAATCCTTCACGGTTGTTTCCAGTTACTATTTAACCTTTCGACGTCTACTCCTAATTCTCGACGCAGTGGATTCTTTGGTAATCTCCTTTTTCTTTTTCCTTCCGGATTCCAAGTTAGCTCTTGCTTTATAATGCATTTTGACAACTTCCTCAATACATGTTCTTTCCACTTCCAACGTCGTTTAGCGATTTCCTACTCATTTGGAAGCTGGTTTATTTTCTCCCACAGGAGATTATTGATGATGGTTTCTGGTCAGCGGACATTGAGTATCTTGTTTAGACAGCTGCATTCAAATATTTTTTCTTTCTTGGTGATCGCTGTAGTGGTTCTGGAAGTTTCAGTTCCTAACCATAGGACTGTCCTGATGTTTGTATTGGTGATTCCGACTTTGATGTTGATTGACAGTTGTTTTGAGTTCTATATATTCTTCAACCGTGAAAATGCTTCGCTGATCCTTGCTTTTACGTCAGCATCGGATCCTCCTAGTTCATCGATGATACTGACCAGGTATGTGAAAGTTTCCACATATTCCGGAGATTTTCTACATGCAGCTCTTCCAGGGTTGCTGCTGGTCCCATTCCAGAGTGAAGCAGAAGGACTGGACACGGTTTCGATAACTCTATCCACTACAAAAGAAGATTGTTAAACAAACGCTCACAAGAATAAGCTATTTGAACTATTTAAAATCTGCCCTCTGGGTTGAAGAATCTTCATTAAGAAGAATTACAATGCCTCACGGTAAAAGTCTAGGTTCTTCGGAGGTCATGAGGCCGAAAACCCTTCTAACGACCAAGGTAACATTGGATATGGATACATGGAATGTCCGGAAAACGACAATGCGCATCTGTAGTGAGATCGAGACCTGAGAACTCCATCCAGACTGCAAGCTCCTGTTCAAAGTGACTCAAATATCATGAAAAGGATACAGAGGGTAGTTATTTGTGTAATTCTGGTGTTAACCTTAAACAGAGCGGCCCCCAGAAGCTTGATCTATTTTTCCTGTTCTACCGCAGATTAGGTCATTTGATTTTGATACATAGGATAGCAGGGGGTGATTTCGGACATGAAATATCCCCTCATTTTCTTCTTACTAGATCAAAATAACTGAGAGGACTTAGCAGAGAAACACGAAAGTCAGTAACAAAATTAGAAATCTGATCCGAATCTGTTGGTGGAAGAGTGGCATATCAGCCACACAAGATATTCTATATCCCAGTCATTTTTGCTATCGCAGTAGCCAAATGTTCAACTGTTAAAGTCCGGTTTATGACGCGATGTTTTGAATATCATCTTTATGCGCAATTATCAAAATATGAAGGAGAAAATGAACAGGTTGAGAAGTAGTTTATGTATGTGCCAAATATGTGGGTTGTCGTGTATGAAACAAGCTATTGATCTACTGTGCTAATAAACAGTGACATTTTCGTAAAGTTGTCTAGGAGCTTGGCATTAAATACTAGAGTTTTCTTCCGGGATAGATTGGGAAACAGCATTTTCAATGGATGCATGATCAACCGGTATGGATTTTGGCGTCAGTCTGTTTTCAGGTACTATGAAATAATTAAATGTTCATTCGGTATTAGGAGGACACATTAAACCAATAAAGAAGAGAATGGAAGTCCACATTCTTAATAACGCTGTTTTGTGAAGAAGAAAGCTATGAATGCCTACTAGTGTGACAACGCAAGTTTCACAAGTACTTTGATCTCCTCCTGACCATAACTAAATTTCATGTTATCATTTCTGCTACCAACAACATGGCAGAAGAGGAGGAACACTACTCCGGATTAAAGGCAAGCGTAAAAGTGGGGGGTCGAAAAAGTCCATCACTAAATAACTAGTGATTCCATGATGAACGCCTATTTAGAAAATCTGTGACTTAAAAGATGAAGTAAACTGTCATGACCTAGCTCCTACTGATACGTATAGACCAAATTAAATAACCAATACACCACAAGGACAGTAAGACTACTACTCTAGTTTTGACGGTTGGCCCAACACCATCTAAGTGCAAACTAAAGGAAGGAACGTAAGACCTATGGTCACTTTATTATAATTCAGGCAGATTTAGATTAGACATAAACATACCGTGCTGCATCACACTATAAAATAAAAATAACAGTTCTACATGGTCAAGCTGGAAAGTGGCTGAATGTAGAGAAAACCGTAAATAATAGATTGGTAATAAACTTGTATAATTATGGTCCACTATATTATTAGTACTGCCATAATAATAGACCTAATCCTTAAATTGTAGATTTGTCATGATGTAACTGCCTAATCTATAAGATCTTACGTAAAAGTCGTATTATTATCTACACCAGCTCATCGCACCGTAATAATCACAAATATATGATGGAGAACAAGCTTAGGCTAGAAATAGAACAAAATATTTAATATGAATAAAATATGTGAGGTAACATTCAACATGGACCACGCAAGCATGGGCGACCCATGCCATCCGATCAACTCGATTTAATTCAATTCATTGTTCCCGCCTTTCTCATCGTCGGGTTTTTCTCTGTGTTAAATGTGGAATATTTATTTTCCATATTGTCTCGTGTTAGGGCCCAATGCCACACTACAAACTAAGAACGGCATATCATATAACGATGGTAATGAAGCAATAGAAAGCCTTTCGTGCCTGAAGGTAACCCTCGTTCTATTGACAAAGGAAACCAAATTAGTAGTGAATAGGTCTTTATTTAGGTCGTGTGACAATCACAGTGGAGCGGGAAGTTACCTGTTCATACAC